AGCAGTCAGAAAGAATCTTTGTTCTTTGCGACGAGAAAATTAAAGTTACAAAAATAAAAAAGCTTTTTTTTTTAGATTCTCGCAAAACACTATAAAATGATCTAGAAAAACAGTTAAAAGGTTACAACGCTTATACAGTTGTTTTTTAAATAACCAGAAAGTTGAAGTGAATTACCTGATCTGCCAATTAGAACATTGAATAGCTAGGTATAAATAAATCTTTCATATTTTAAAATCCCAGTTGTAAACTAAGAAAAAATTTTTAGCATCGGAATAACTGCCGTAAAGCATAAAAAACCGATCTAACGCAGTTTAAAATTGCGTGCTTGAAAGCCGAGGATAACCGTGCAGACATTTTTCAAAACTCTCATTCGAAAAAAATGCAGTTAGCAGATTTGCCGTAAAGGGTTAAGGAAAGAAAGTAGGCAGGAAAGAGCACAGCCTAGGATAAAAGGAAGCTACTAAGATTGATTTTAAGTCTTTCAAATGTTCTATACTGTTTTTGTAGAAGCGATCGCTAGTGTAATTTATGACCAAAATACTACGTACATAAAAAATAAATTTTTTTATGCATTTTCATCTCATTAGCACATAAGTGTTATATGATACATAGTAACGAGAAGAGTGGCGTATAGAATAAACGACGACAGGTGAAAAACGAAAGCAGAAAAGCGAAAAAAAGAAGAAAAGCAAAATTTTTATTTCCGAAATAGTATAAAACTTTTCATTTTATTATCAGATTTGTAGCAAAATGCAGAGAAAGGGAATGTAACAGAATCACTTTTTAAGTGTTTTTAATTAATATTTCTCTTTTTGCTGAATTCTTGTTTACTCATCTCATGTAGAAGACCTCCGTCATCCAAAAATTCCTCCACTTCTTTCCCCTACATGCGCCAAGTAGCAGTTACCCAAAGAGACGACAATCTTAAGTCTTAAATGAGCTGCTCCGTATCAAGTGACAAACGTTTTTTAATCAGCCTCTCAGAATTTTTTGATTGCTCTGCTAATTTATAGTAATTGATACTTGGTTGTAAAATCAAAAAATTTTACCTTAGAAAGCGTTTTGACGGCAGATTTAGATCATTCTAAAGCGCAACAAATAACGCAGTTTCTGCTAAACCCGGTCGTCATTAAGAACTTGCAGTTTTACCCATTCGCAACAAATAAGTCGTCCAAAAACTGTCTTCTTAAGACTCAGAAAGGTTGTAGAGTGTGTACTAAAAAATCCTATAATAATTACAGCAAAAAACAAAAATCTAAAACCTTTCTAAAAGACTTACATTTAAAATTTTTTTTGAAATGTACATTTTTGAAAACGTGTTTGTCGTATAACGCATTAAATTACTTTTTTGTTTCCCGTACTCCTATGTCTAATAGATGCAAACGAGTTGCATCAGCTATGCGTTAGAGGACCAAAAAAGTATCTCCTGTCATTACTAGTTAGCCAAATGTATTGTATATGGTATATTTATACTGTACCAAAAACGCTGTTTTCTGCTTTGGTTAACCTTATCCGATTAACCAACGTGATGGAGCCCCAGTCTAAATGAAAAATGATCATTTACCTTTTTTTGCTCTATACTGTTGCTCAAGGTGGTAGATATGCTTTGTATCAGGGTAAGGAAACCTTAAACAAAAAGAAGTATTAGGGAATAAGAGGGTAAAAAAGCTACAGCAAAAATAAAAGCACAAAAGAAAAAGAAGTAGTTGAAGGTGAAGTTGAATGAGCATAAGCAAATAAAAAGTGCGAATTAAAGGTAGATGTTGCACAAGCCCAAAAAAACAGTAGTATTGAAAAGTGACTAAATAGAAAATTGAACGTACGAGAGAAGATACTGCAGTGTTTTTTTGAACAGATTTAGTTTACACGCTGAAATAAACTTTTAATATAAAAGATTATTCTCCGTTGAGTTCAAGCGAAAAGTTGCGGTGCAGAGATACACGTATCTTGTAAAATCTAGTTGCTTTTCTCTAGTTTGCGACCTAACATAAGCCGAATACGGTCGAGTTTTAGTAAGCTAATGTCAGTTTGAGAAATGCTGAAGTGCTGAAACCAGTAAGTAAACTACCAATTGTTCATTATCGAACCCATCTGTTGTCGTACAAAAACGAGAATGGCTTTTTTTGCGGAATTTCTGCTCAACACCTTTTGTGCTTAGAATTGTCATTTTATATTTTTCTATGACATTTCGTGCGACAAAAACTCGACTATCCAGCTACAGAGGCTACACTATTAGGTTAAGAGTCAACTTCAATATCTGTTTTAAAATTATTATATCTACCTGCTTTGGAATAACTATCTTAAGCTTTAACACTGAAGCTCGCCACTTGGCGTTTCTCAATAACAAACGCGCTCAGCGTACTGGTACTTTTACTCTAGATTCTTTTCAGATACCTATAAACTGCCGACAGACGGCTTTTATTGCCAGTAGCCAGAAAAGTTACTTTTTGCACGATTCAAAATATTCCAATCAGCTCTAGTTGATGATTTACGTGGTGTAATAAATAATGTTAGCTCTAGCTCACGCAGTAACAGCATCACTTCGGTGATAGCTATAGCGCCTTGGGAAGTTTTTACAAAACAATATTGAGCAAATAGTCTTGTTTCACTTGATCCACTTAATTAGTACCACCTGAAACTTGGCAACGGCAAGGCAACACAGTAGCATAACTGGGCTCGCTTATTAAGGCTTTCCGAGGTACGCATTTTTTTCGTCATTTACTTACTCGTGCTCAATGTACCACTGCTGGCGCACTTTTTTCATAGAAAGCGTTTATAAATTTTAATCGACGCGTCCTATGTTCCTCAAACACAGTTGAGGCTCGTATCAACGGACTTATCTACATATAATAGTAGTCATTTTTTTTATCATTTCAAATTGTTTATAATGATTACTCAAGTTTTTAGCGCTAACCTTCTCTCAATTATTTAAATTACTTTGCCTATCGACTTCAAACATTTAAATCTTTGTTTTAGACGAGAAATGGTAAAGAGTGATCGCTGCTTCTTGCTTTGGTCTAACGTGTTCAAACGCGATAGCAGACTGCAGGAATTCAAATGGTATGACATCCCCGCTATGCTGCTATCTTTCCTGCGGCTTTGTAGAGAGTATACAGCAAAGTCCTATCCAATCAGTACACTGGAGCGGTTTGTGTAAGAGAGCGTTGAAGCTAAGTAACATTTTGTAAAAATACACTTTGAGTTTGCGCAGTTAAACGCTTCTTGTACCATTTATACATAAGATTAATTAAGCAGAACTATCTTATACGCAGCTGTTGCAAAAAAAAAAGTGAAACTCCTTCTTTTGCAAACAAAACTTCTGTTTCAGAATACAGGTAGTATACAGGTACGAAAACATGTCTGATATAAAAAGTCATGCGCACGGCTTATAATATTCATTTCGCTACCAAATTTGCAAAGATAGGGCTAGCACAAATTTAAATGCTTGAGTCTATCTGTCTTTGCAATATTTCTTATTTTTGTTAAAAAAACTGGCTAAAGTGATGTAATAGATTACCAGCTCGATACTTTGAAACAGTATCTTCATTCCACAAACTTGTGGTTTTTGTACGATAAAATGAAGAAGTTTGGAAAACTTCAGTCATACGAGTCAAGTCAAAAGCACAGATCGCCGATATTGATAAGTTGGCTAATACGGCTTTAAAAATTGCGTATACTACTGTATTGCTTTCCTTCAAACCAAAATAGCGGCCTGATACTGGACTTGCAGTGCTTATTATCTGCAAAATTTAGTCCGTCGACAAAGTCAATTAAGTCGCTTGTTGGACAAACACAAGTTTAATTCCATCCTTCTAAGACAATAATAATAAAATAATATCATTTTTAGTCTGTTAAACAAAAGGCTAATTGAAAAAGGAATTCTTTACGCCCTTACTTCACTCATTTTCTGATACGCGATTCCTTTTCATAGATATTTTTCTGAAAGCTAGAGTAATTACCTTTTCAAACAAAAATTATCACTCAAATCTT